AAGTTTTATATACGAGTGCATTGAAAGTGTTAAATAATACTTTAGGGTACACATTTTGTTGTACATTAATGTCATTAAATTTTATTCTGTTTGTTGATATTATTGAAAAAGTATACAATTTGTTAGCGTTTATAATAATTTGATAACTATGCTTTTACCATATTAGATACACATGGTACCATCCTATATGTTACAGAATAGCTCTATGAAGCCGACTGTAGAAAATTAGGGGGTATTAAGTATCATAATAAAATTACTTGTAGCCATCAAATAAATATCACAAATATAAAAAAAAAATATGGAACAAGTTTGGAAGGGCACTTTATTTCTAAAATTATACGATAAAAGCTTAAAAATATTAGAAGCAACAAAACAAAATAAAAAAGAAAATATACATTCATAACATCATTTAACTAAGAACTATAACAAAAAAACCAAGTATATAGATGGGAGTTTCTAACTGAGATGTAATTAATTATTGTCAGCTAAAAAACTATAATTTATCAACAAAAAAAATAAGTTGAAAGTGATAAGACAAAGTTCTAATAATCGAAAGGCAAATCTACAGATAAAAATGCCGGTGATAAACTTGGATTTATTACAAATTAAGTAAACTTCGCTATGCAATGTTGCCGATGAACACAAAAAATAAATAACGAATTAAAAAAAACATATAAATAATAAATATTTGTGCGGAAAGTAAGTACGGATTATTTATTTGTGATACCATCGCGTAGTGTGCAACGTTCATTTGTAACCGATTTAAGTAGACAAAGCATGGGCTGGTTTCGCGGCCCCCATTCCCCCGTCGGAAGTGCTACGCGAGTAACTGGCTGGTAATGTTGGCTCCGCGAGAGTGCGTCCGGTGGAGGCGTCAGAGTTCCGAGCCGACCGCCTATCACCCTAACCTACATATTAATAAATCGAACGCTGCAAGCTCCTCTACGACATTTACAATATCCAATTTTAAAAATAAATTGTCTTATACACAACACTATACCGTGAACACACACCCACGCCAGGCCTCGACACGTATACGCCCCACACACACACCCTCATAAAGTTTCTTATTCAAACATTATAAATATATAGTTTACAATATAAATTAAAATATTGAATGAAACTACACATTTCTTACAATATAATATGTACAAGGCATCTCTTGTCATTCCTTATTTAATAACGTTATGTCTGTTTTGTATTTAGTCGGCCGCATGTGCACTCACACGCGCGCGGTTTCCTGTACGTACACGCAGCACGCACACCGCCGCACACGCGCCCGATGCACGTCAACATTTGCAGCGCGCATTTCTCCGCAACGGCTACATTTCGTTATAAACGTCCATACAAAAAACTATCTGGCACTAACATGTATATTCATTACAAAATGTATAATATAGTAATTATTATATATATTATATATATACACAATCACAACGTAAATTTGATAAACAACCGAGAGGAATATATATTGTTTGTTATTGGTGTTACGGCGATATTTAATGTTGCAGCATTGCTGTTTTTCTTGTAATTATCATAAATTATTACATGCAAAAATATTTCGCGCTTTGTTAAAATTATACGACGCCACGTCCATCGTTTTGTTCTACAAAATTTCACTTCTCGATTAATTTACTTTTACAATTATTGGAACAGTAATGGAATTTAATGAATCTAGCTCCCCTAATAGAGTATTATTGTCCAAAAATGTCTACGTTTCAATGAGAGATCAGAAACTACATGTATATTGATCGCGTCATAATTGTATTTCGTTATCTAAACACGAAATTATGTCAATCGAGAGTCTATTTGACAAATTTGCCCCCAAACATTATGATATGTATGCGAAAAAATATTTAGTCGTAAGGATCGTGATTGTAAACAAGTTTTGCTCGATCATTGTTCTGTATCTAATCACATCTATATAGGAACATGTTCGCTATAAGTTTAAACATGGAGTTAGACTAACAAAACCTATTCTACCTTACTCTCTCGTTTCAGTTTTTTAGTGTACATATCGCAAGAGATAGAAGAGAGAGAGCGAGAGATCAGTGAAACGTGTAAAAATAGTACAAGATCATTCTTTAAGTGATATTTTTTTTGCCAATTATTTCTTTCCTTCAAAAGTCTTGTATATCATTCCTATCTTGTTCCTACAATCTAAATCTAGCGAGTTCTAAATTCTGAACCTCATACTCTTCTAACTCTTGTACAGCGTTCTTTTAGTCCAACTCCACTTTAGTGTTATTGTTCAGTGAGAGCGATCGTCGTCGCGATAGAATCACTCTGCACGCAACACGATTCGTCGCGATATTAAACTAAATTAGTACTTATCGTACGTAATTCTAAGTTCCATATTCACTTAATAGAAGCGCGATAGTTCAGTAAATTATTGCGAAGTACTACCAGTGATCCCATACATGGTGAGATATTTATAATATATTGGATTGGCCCACACGCGAATTTTAGTTTTCGTATAGCTCCGATTACACTAAGAACGAGCAATTCGTATTATGTGTTCCCGACAGTAAGACATTTTCAATGATAGGAAAGGTACTACATACAACGAAAACACTTAAGATATGATTTAAACTATCACTTACATTTACAGAGCCGGTCGGGAGACGCCGGGCTCGTAGCGTACGCCGTTGCTAGGCAACCAAGCTTAGTATTTACACACGGTACTTACAGATTTATACAGCTTTTTGGTCATCGTTTTGGGAAGAGAATGTCATACGAAGACTATGTTTGGGCAGCGGTCACCGTTCGTCGATTGTATATTATTAGGTGACATAACTGCCGAGCATCAGTCCATCTCTTGAATGAATTAATTTTGTATGTGGCATATAATGTTGGGCGTCTCTTACTTTGCCGCTTGATAGATATAGATAGATACGGCAAAAATACACGCTTGATTCTAGCCGCTTGACTATCTTTGGACCACTACACGCAGTGTTCCATTCGAGTTGGTGTTATACGTATAAAAATACAAGAATATAGCCATGCGTACCGTTACGAATGGCACAATAATATTGCATACAACGTCGATGTAAAAGTGTAGGCAATAGCCTTGTATAATTAATTACTTGTTCGTAACTATGTTATGGAGATTACTGATCGCGAGCATTTAATAACAGCGCTGAATAAGTACGCTGGGGCGTAGCAGATTTCCAAGACGGCATATTAATAAATGATTAAATCCCGAGCAAAGCCATTACAGTTAACACTTGGTTAATTATTGATACGATGTTACAATAGTACATGTTTGCAATTCATCTAATTAACAGTTCTCAACAAGAAACTGCAAACAAAATGTCATTTATGATGATTATGATGCTTGTGGAAGCTCAATTGTTCTTACTTGATATTTTAATAAATTTGCAGATGCAACGAAAATAACTATAATGGTAACGATCTATTTAATGGAAAGTTATGTAAATATCAATAATGAAAACTGTTTCTGTTGTATTTTGTTCTCTGTACGCAATTAAAGGTTATTATAATTTTCACTACTGCTGTATATATTGATTGACTGATTTAGTCGTTATATTTTATACTGGTATATAATATTCGTCTTGGACATAGGTCATTTTTGTATTTACTCGTATTATTGTTTTTATTTATGTGAACAACCAAAAACTACCATGGGATGGGTAAATTTATTACAGAGATTTTAAAAATATTTGTCATATATATTTAGCTGTCTTACTTCTATTTTGACTTATTCTCAAGTTTCAACCCCAAAACTATTGTTATAAACTTACGCGATCAATATTCTCCATTTTCACAATATAATTGGATCTTTTGTCTGCATTTGTTGACCAGTGACATAACTGGCAACATACTACATCTCTAAATCACATGATGGCTTATATAGGTACTTAATATTGCAAATTTTATTTTCAAATAGTAAATATTATTGCAATTTATTCGTCATTCCATAATAATATTAATAGAAGTCTAATCAGTAGGACACGTTCTTCATATAATCTCCATTATACCTACAATAAATAATAATAAAAATATAACTATGTATAATTTATATAATTATAATAAACACATCCAATATTCTATTCCGAGTAATATAAATTTCGTACCGATTTCGTCTTTTTATTCGTATTATTAAAAATACGCTTTAGCTAATCGATTTATATTCTACTGATCAGACTTCAATAGTTCATAGGTCACAATAGTTACACGTTTACCAACATAGAAATATAAAATAAAATTTATCTATAAATGTAAGCCATTTTTGTGTAGCTCCATTACATTCGAGACTATCGAAATGTAGTATTCTGGAGACTTGCACAGAGTAGCGATTACTCGGCTGTATTGAACAACATCAAAATATATTGCCATTTGAATTATATATTGTTAATGTATGTATATTTCGTGTATATATATGTATATTAAAAAGACAACTGTCTGCTATAAAAAAAATATAATATTTCATCACAGTATAATTAGGATTCCTGAATATAATGGAATATTTTACATCAATAGTACTGTATATATTTATTGCTTTATTGACCATTAAAATGTGGTGTGTGCAACGTGTGAATTGATTGCTTAGCATTAAATATGCATAATATTAACTAAAAAAAGATTTCCTATATATCACATTAAATCATTGACTAAAATACATGTAAATACATACACACATTAATAAAACAAACCTACATTTCAATAACATTTTTATATTTATTAAACGCGCGTTTGAAAAGCTGAAGTCTAATAAATATCTGATAAAAAATATCCGCAGTATACAATGATTGGTTAAAAAGATATATTTCAGTCATGTTTGTGAAACACATCTGTAGATATATATGTAAATATATATTAATTACTCCTCTATGTATTTAAAGTAAACAATAATTGTTTTCGTATCAAACATGGTCTTGTATAATATTCTATTAACATCAGTTACCCTAACAATCTTATTATTTTCTAAACATCTTGTTGTAACGTTCGTGAGTGTGCGATTAAAGTACTATATATATATATTTAAATATTTACTTCTATTAATCTATACTAATATGATAAAGTTTGCTTTCTTGAGTTTGTTTATTTCCTTGTTTGTATACTTGTATTAAAAATTCTATCACCTACAGTTAGACCTATGTACATGAACAACGAGTAACACAGGTTGCATTCCGCGGAAGCCAACTAATATTTTATATTTCTATGTTTCTTCAATCAAACGAATGATATTGTGAGTTGATTTTGGTAATCTAGTTGATTTCATACCATTTACTACCAAAATATCAATCATCAATAGTTCAATTCGTTCATAATTAGTTAACAAACGTGTCAAATACGGACAACAATCGATCGATCAATATATTAATCTGTAACTACGATATCTCCATGTCAAACCATTTATTCATAAAAACTAGTGTTTTCTCACTTTTTATCAAACATATAAAATAGTTTACACGTTTAACGTTTTTATGAATAAGCTAGTTCAATTCGTACGCTCAATATTATGTAGCCATAACTCACAAAACATTTAATCCAAAATCAACTTTAAATCCTTAATTTCAAAGTCCATTTTCGTATAACCGTTCAATGGAGTTATTGCATTTTATTATGAAGCGTGCGTATAATATGATAGGCCAATATGTTCCGTGGTCCAAGTGATAGGAGCCTAGCGGTCGGTGACAGTGAGTCCGCAGCGGCGCGCGAGCAGCCGCAGCGCGGGCGGCGGAGGTCACTCGCGCGGCGCGTTCTTGAGCAGCGATATCGCGTACCGCACGTACTGCACCAGGTGACGGAACGTCGACGACAGCGACAGCGGCCCGCACTTGCGGTCCACAGCTATGAACAGGTCTGAAATGGAACATTTATACGTTTATTACATGCATAACGGCTTAAATGAGGGGACGAACGACATAAATGCAGAAAATATATACTTTTAAAATAACATTTATTCTTATTACGACAACGACAGCGGGCCGCATTTGCGGGCCGTCGCAATGAATAGGTCTGATATGTAAGATTTATTACATTTTTATTTTTATAAAAATCGGTAAATCCGTTTCGGTTGAGTTTGGTAACAAATACCGCAACACGAGAATTTTACATATTACATTACATTTTTATTACTTATAAAAACTTTTCAAAAATCAAACATATAGAAGGCATTATGAGTACGCACCTTTGGTTCATATTAAAGAAAAATATTTAATAAAAAAAAAAAACAAAAGGTTACTGACCTTGGTTAGGCCGCAGGCGGCAGAGCCCGTCGGCCTGCTCCCAGAGGTCGTGCGCCACATACAGGAACGTGTAGTACTTGGTGAGCTGCAGCAGCGCGTGGTGCGCGTGCGCCGGCACCGAGTGCGCCAGCGAGCAGTACCCCGACGACGCCGAGCCCGAGCCCGCAGACCCCACCGACCCCGCCGGCGACGGCGACGGCGACAGCGGCGACGCGGACGGCGCGCGGCCCTCGCCCGCCGCCCCCGCCCCGCCCCCGCCCCCGCCCCCGCCCCCGCGGGACTCCGCGCACGCCGGCTGCAACCAACACCACTCATTGTACGATACGAGTATTATAACGACGGCGACAGCGGCGACGCGGACGGCGCGCGGCCCTCGCCCGCCGCCCCCGCCCCGCCCCCGCCCCCGCCCCCGCCCCCGCGGGACTCCGCGCACGCCGGCTGCAACCAACACCACTCATTGTACGATACGAGTATTATAACGACGGCGACAGCGGCGACGCGGACGGCGCGCGGCCCTCGCCCGCCGCCCCCGCCCCGCCCCCGCCCCCGCCCCCGCCCCGCCCCCGCCCCCGCCCCCGCCCCCGCGGGACTCCGCGCACGCCGGCTGCAACCAACACCACTCATTGTACGATACGAGTATTATAACGACGGCGACAGCGGCGACGCGGACGGCGCGCGGCCCTCGCCCGCCGCCCCCGCCCCGCCCCCGCCCCCGCCCCCGCCCCCGCCCCCGCCCCCGCGGGACTCCGCGCACGCCGGCTGCAACCAACACCACTCATTGTACGATACGAGTATTATAACGACGGCGACAGCGGCGACGCGGACGGCGCGCGGCCCTCGCCCGCCGCCCCCGCCCCGCCCCCGCCCCCGCCCCCGCCCCCGCCCCCGCCCCCGCGGGACTCCGCGCACGCCGGCTGCAACCAACACCACTCATTGTACGATACGAGTATTATAACGACGGCGACAGCGGCGACGCGGACGGCGCGCGGCCCGTCCTCCGATCGATCCTTCGTCTAATTCAAACGGGGATCGATATTACGACGACCTGAGCTGAAGTTTGCACCCCTAGCGACGCCCTCAAAGTAAAGTCGTATACATCAGTCGAGCGTTGGCCTTTAGCCGTTCATAAGGTCTTCCGCAGGTTTATAGGGCTATCTGCACTCGTACCCTATCGTTCGGTAGGCTATAAAGGTCAGCTGCGGCCGACATTACATATTCATAACATAATAGTAAGTTAGATTAAAATTTCTACAGATTAATAAAAAGTATATAAATAAAATAAGAAGTATATAAAGTGACTGATAGATAAATTAACCCACCTTTTGTTGATAGTCTTGTACAATCTTGTTGTACTCTTTGACTTCACGATTGTACATTTTGAACATCCGCAGGTACAGTAGGGCTTGCACACGAAGACTGTAACAATAATAACATAATTTTACGAACTGGAATGGCAAATAAACTGACCATCAGATCGATGGTAAGTGGCGACCGTCCGTATTATACATGAACATGACATTACGTCATCATAATTATGACGCCTGTCCATACTAAGCTAGGAGTATTGCTGTAGCAAAAAATGTAGGTCTACCCATACTGAATCCTATTGGTCTAATACTTGTAATTGAACATATATGTGTATACTAGGCTACAAATAAAATTTGTATCTATATAGATTCGACGTACAAAAGTAACTCGTACTTACGTAGGTATCTCACACGTACACGGATATCTTTGTAGAAAGTCCACTTCAGTATACAAATAATGTTATTTTCTTATTTGCAAAGTAATGTAAATTATTAAATCCTCTTACTACAAAACGATAGACACAAATTCATCAATATTCTCTCGCCCTATTTGTAGCACTAAATAGAGGACTAAACCTCTTCCGATTGAATGTAATGCTGGATAAATGTTTTATTATTACTATTGTAGATTGTATATATATTAAAAATCTCACAAAGTAAAAAAACTAACCTCAGTATATCTAATTTGCTGAACGTGGAGTGCGGCGACGCTCTGAACCGCTGCGGCATCGAGTGTATCGACTTGATGTACTCGATGGTCTCGCGGTAGATGGTGAAGGCGCGCTTGGTGTCGTGCTCCAGCTCCAGCACGCGGCCCGTCAGCACGAAGCAGAGCACCGACTCCAGGTACAGCATCACGCGCGGCAGCGGCTCTTGTTCCCGCTCCGCCGCGGTACGCAACCGGGTCGCCTCCTCGAGGTAGTATCTGAAAATATATTCAACTTTGTAATACGAGTTTATTTGAATTAATGTGCAATTGGAAATGATGGGCTAGTGATTTCGCACGCCGCTTTATTTCAAATGACGACTATTTCAAGTCATTCATGATTATTTGTGTTGGTCTGGATGTTATCCATCTATACTATGCATGTATTTACAAAAAAAAATGTATTTAAGTATTTTATCAATTGTACCCATATAACAAGCTCTGCTTATCTTGGGATTAGCACTGCGTGAATTCTCTAGGGTTATAATGATATCCCAAAATAAACAGTCCTTGAACTATAGATATTAATTAGGAACTGGACAAAATTATATAGGTATATTTTTATTAAAATCTGATTGTAATGATCTCGATGTGTTTCAAGGTGGAACTCATCACATTACAATTAAATATAGTAATAAATACCTCCAGAGAAGCGTAACAAAACAATAACATCATCGAGGTCGTAACAATAAATTTAAATAGGTTAGGTTAGGCTGCCTGATTATATCTAAATGTTTACTAAAATAAAACGGGAAACATGTATAGAATTAGCATCTGGAAACTTAAATCAAATATATTAGTAAATTTTTTCCAAAGATCTCACTTGTGATCCCGCTCTTCATCGGAGAGAGCGTCGGCAGGCAACCGCTCGAAGTACGAGAAGTAGATGGGCGTCTGTCCACACGCCGTCCGCTCGTGGTTTGTAGCGCCGACAGCCGCGCCCTACACAAGCGTACATCATAAATCAGATCTGTTTCACTCATCTACACTTAGATGTATTTACTTTACTCAAATGAACAGATATACATTTTACACGTAAAGATTTTATAACACAGTATAAATTACAAAGAAGAGCATAATATTCAGTTACTTCTACTACATATAATAAATTATATCCGGACCGAAGGACCAACATATATAAATAATATTTTTAAAAAACCTTTAGTTAACTTATGATTTTAATACCAAAACTATTGACTATTTAATATTGAGAATTCATATACAAAGTCAACTGTATTTATTTCTATTATAAGTAATTCGTTGTACGAGCTAGCATCGTACATTATTTCGCAACATTAACATTTTATATTATATAACATTTTCGTATTAAAATCCCTTTCGTCTCTCTGTTCTAAAAACAATCATCTTACAAACTTTAAAAAAACCAACCTGTTCGGTCCATCAAGCCGGACATAAAAGTAGGAATGTTACAAGATATCTAGAGCGGTACCTGGTCCGGATGCGGTGTAGGCCTACGCTTGGCCGGCGGGCGGCGCGCGTTGTGAGCGTTGTTGGGATGCAGCGGATGCAGCGGATGCAGCGCGTGCAGCGGGTGCAGCGAGTGCAGCGCGTGCAGCGGATGCAGCGGCCGCTGCAGCGCACGCACCAGCTCGCCGCGGAGCTTCGCCAGCGGCACGCGCACCACCAGCCGCGCGCGCGACGTACCGCCCGACACTACACGCGCACACACACACACTAGTACTACCACTGCGGAATCACCGCTAAATCCAGCATTAGGCATTGTGATATATGCTCTTATTGCAGAGTTTAGTTTTTATTTATGTGTCTATACATATCTATGTATGTATATATATTTTATCGTTATTTATTAACTGATTGAATTATTCGACTCCTCTGACTCTGTTTACATTAGAAAATTATTCCATTCATACTATCACAGTATGTCATCGTAAACAATGGTACCATATACTTATTTTAGCTGATCGTTTGATCAGAATATTAATTGCTTTAAGTGATAAGGCCGCCTTTAGTTTGCATATCTTTCTTTTTTTTATTTCTTTTTTGGAATTATTTGTTTCTATTATGCACAATAAAGAGTTTTATTATTATTATTATTAATTCTCCTATTTATTGTCAATGATTCTAAACATACACAATTAATATTATGTAATAATCATTATGTACAAGACCATATTTTACAAAAATACGATTCTTATCTTGATTACCAACGAAAATATATAAATATTGAACAGTAATAAAACCTAATAAGTAATAAATCTTACCAATTGAGGAAGCCTCTTCGAGTCTCTCAGACCCGCGGCCCGATTTGAGTCCCGAGCCGACATCTGCTTCCGCGCGAATGTACCGCTCGTTCGTCAACCGTTCGAGACCCACTTTGTCGGTCCCCAACCGTTCGAGTCCCGCTTTATCGGCACTCAAACGTTCGAGTCCAACCTTGTCAGTCGTCAACCGCTCGAGCGACGTCTTATCTTCGGACAAACGCTCAATTGGTAACTTCTCTGCAGACAGTCTTTCCATATTTTTATCTTCATGTCGCTCGATTACTTTTTCACCAGATAACCGCTCGTGAGGTTTACTAAGCCGCTCAAGTGACACCTTAAAAAAGTTTTTATTTCATTTAGTATAAGCAACGTTAAGTTGTTTAAGTAAAGTTACTAGTTTCATCAATAGGATGATACTGTTTTAGTGTAAAGTTTTAAAGCGATTGTATTAAAAAAATAGTGTTTTTTTTTATTCTTCTTTGTCTAACGCTCGTAAAAGTTAGTAATGCAAAAACATAATTAAAAAACATTAAATACATCCTTCGAACACTTTAAAATGAAACGTTATGTTATTCGTACTGTAGTAATAATTAAAAAATACACAACGCATAATTACTTAGATATAAATTATTCTAACCTTATCCCCTGGGAACCTCTCACTCGACCGCCGATCGGGCACGACCCCCGACACCCTACTCGTCCGATCCGGCATGCGGTTACTGAGCGCCCGCTCGGGTGGCAACCGCTCGCTTAATATCCGATCCGGTATCCGGTCGTTGGAGGTGCGCTCGGTGTGTATCCGGTCGAGGGGGGTCCGGTCCGGGCCCCGGTCCGTGGGCCGGTCGTCGGAGCGGCGGTGGTCGGGCCGCTCGAGGGACACTCTCTCCTGTATCCTCTCGTTGGCCACCCTGTCCGCCTCCCGCCTCCTGGTGAGGGTCTCCGGCTCCTGCGGGGGAGACACGCGGGCCATTGCCTCCTCGTTCCTCCTCTCAGTGGACCGCTCGCGGTTCCTGCGCTCATCATCGTCCGCCGACTCTCGAGTCATGGGCACCTCGATGATTGTCACCTGACCCTTACCCTTCCCGCCCTTCCCTTTGCCGCCTTTACCGCCCTTCCCGCCGCATTCGTCGCCTTTTTTGGGCGTAAAAACCTATAGAAAAATATTAAATTGGACTGATTAAAAAAACTTTATATAACAGGTATGTATCGAGATTGTAAGTACTTGGCCTAATAATGTGTTGTCACATTAACAGTTTGTATATATTAAATAAATAAATTTATGTCAGCGCGTAACCCTGGCTAGTGTAAACTAAACGAAACATCAACTATATTTATCATAAAATTAGTCGTCTAAATATCTGATAAACAACATACATTGCCTAAAATCCTAGACTATACGGACAATTTGTATTTTTTTTTATATAATTGGAATTACTAACCAACCTGATGATAAAAGCCATCGCCTTATACATGAACAGCACTACGGATATCACGTTATTATGATACCCGTATTAACACTCATGTTATAATACGCCCCTTATTCCGTAATTTCACTGTCAGCACATTACAACCGAAACATAAGTCACGAAGCAAGCATGTCATGTCATGCCATGGCCCTTACCCTGTCATTTCGCTGTCTAATCAGTGAAAACAGCTTATAAATACTCGGCGGCTAAAACCGGTGAGAAAGAGATAACCGAATAAGCCCTTCGACACTGGTCCAAAAATACCTGAAAGTTTTTCAGTGTGTTGTAAAACAAACCTTGCGGAAGATGTGTGTTTTGTTGTCTTGCGCGTGCGGCTGCGGCAGGTCGGGCTCCGCGTCGCTCTCCGGGGCGGGCGCGGGCGCGGGGGCGGGGGCGGGCGCGGGCGCGGGCGCGGGGGCGGCGGCGAGGGGCGGCGGCTGCTTGGGCGGGCGGCCGCGCTTCTTCTTCGCGGGCCGCTCCTCCGAAGTGCGCGCCTTGGGCGGCCTCCCGCGCTTCTGCGGCGCCGTGAACGAGGCCTGCACACGTGGTGATGTTTGCTGCAAGTGCAATATCACCTTTGTAAACTATTGTATTTCGCGTTACGGTAACACAGTTTCGATTAGCACTGTAGGTCCTTTATAATGCTATATACCGTTATTACTAAACCTTAAATTAAGTGTATTTTAATTTAACTTTTTATCTCCTATTCATGCAGTTTATTATTCCTATGAAATAAAACTGACAAAAATCTCAAGTCATCGCATTTCGAATGAAATAATGAAATGAAATGAAATATAGCATAGGAGATAAACAAGCTCGCTGCTCAACTGATGGTCCATGACCACCCCCAATACCAGGGCAATTGCTTGCCGAAATTAAGAAAAAATCTATTATTTTCTTGAAAGTTTCAAATTTCATTAACTGAATTAATAGCGTAAAGTACAGTACATTTCATTTTCACATATAGGATCTAGGACCTTGGCGGTCTTTCGATTCCCCCTCGCCTGTCCTACGGGAGTCGGAGGTTCGATAGTTCTTTGTGATTCTTTTTTTGAGATAATAGTATAAATCATGGGTAACAGGTAGTTTGTACAAATATAAGGTGTATCTATGACTTTTGCCTTACCGTAGTGGGTCGCGACGGCTCGTCGTCGCTGGAGGCGGTGGACGCGCGGTTGGCCAGCGAGCGCCGCCGCCGGGCGCCCACCGGCGACGGCGACGACGCTTCCGAGTCTGACATATCCGAGATTGGACTCTGTTAACAAACGAGTAAAGAACATATTTGTATAATCGCATTCATTAGAATACCAAGAATAAATGTAATAAAAGGAACATTGTGCATATTCTGACTTATTCGAGATAGGACTATGTTAAGAGACTAATAAAAATCATTTTTATAATATTCGCATATATTTGAATTAATGACCCGAGTCTAATTGTAATAAAAGCAATACTCGTGACTTATTCGAGATTGGACTCTGTTAACAAACAAATAAGTATAATTATTGAACATCATTACTACAGTTATGACAATAACTTTGCATATTTTTTTTTCAAATCACAATCACTACACTTAATAAGCCGTCTTTGCATATTTGGACAAAACCTATCAAACCTACCACAATGAATCTTTATAAGCAATTGCTTTCAAATGTAATGTGCTAAAAATATTTCATACTAAAATACCTAGTGAACAGACCCTGATGGCTGTAAAAATTAAATAAAAGTACTCTAATATTATAGTTTAAAAATAAGAACTGACAGATTGAAAAATGAATGTTTTTCTTTTTTACATTACATACAAATCTGTCCTCTACATTGCGGCACATAGCAGATATATTTCCGTGTAGTGCACCAACAGCTTGCCACAAAGTATCTTTGAATCGCAGGTACTCATCCAGCGCCTGCCCACGCTCGTGAGGCGCCAAGTTCAGGCCCGTCTCAAAATTGCCGAGTCCACTCCTCAAATTGCGCTTCAGCAACGCCAAATTGATCCATTTCTGGCGAATGTCCTCTTTCCGATCCATAGTACGCGTCAATAACTTTACGAGTTTGTTCAGAAAGGGTGTCTATTTTGTCCGCACTTCCCCTCGAATATAAAGGGTGGCATTAATTAAATTATGCATTGAAAACTTTACAACAGTAAATGGATTGGAATCGTAATTAAAAACTTATCAGTCCTCAGTTCGTTTTGAGTCTTCAAAAAAAATCTTAATACACTTCTTTGATCACTTCAGAACTTTTATTTATTTAATCAATTATATTTATTTCATGATTTATGAATACTATAATTTTTTTTTTAATTCACAAAAATATTTTTTTATACTAGTAATTTTGCAACACACGTCAGTTAGGGTATGGCTTTAGAACACTGATTGACCAGGATGTGATCTTATGAAGCTGATACTGCTTAGACAATGTCAGCGAGTACGCAGACCGCTTACTCAGTTCCCTTGTACGGAGAAGTTTATCTTGGCAATTCGACACCTGGGAATCGTTACCGTCACACGAACAGTCGGATAAGTGCTGCGTATACGCTTTTTTGCTTATGAAACCTATCACGCTTGTCTACTATTGGCTACAGGATATATACGAAGCTTGTGTTACATTGAGTGTGTCTAGGGTTGCCAATTTTAATCTACTAGTTTAATTATTTTATGTCTGATCTATGGGATAACAAGGTATACATCCTGTTCAATTCTGAATTAAAAAAAGAGCGATAATAAATTATAACATTAGCTGTCCGGATTCAAAAACTTGTATATAATATTAAATATGTATTTTACATAATTAAAGATAACGACTATTATATAAAAAATATATTATATAAAACATCTTATACTATATAAGACATATCTATTAGTAAAAAGAAATGTTTTATTTAATAATATGTAATACTATCAAAAGTTTAGGATTCATCAATTTTAAAAGTTGACAACCCTATGTTAACGTATATATTAGTAAAAAAATTTTTTTTTAATAAAATGTAACATTTCCAAAAGCTTAGGATCCGTCAATTTCGAGAGGTGCCAACCCTGGGTGAAACTTGTATCGTTCCTAAATATACGATGCAGCGGAAAATTGAAACTGAATCTTATACCATGTTTATATCTATCTCATTCTAATATATGTTATGAGAAAAACACACCTATGTTATGCATTGGTTGAAAAAATATCATTCAGCAATAATAATATTTTTTTCTATAATTGGAATAACAGCCATTCGTGCTGTTACTAAGAATCGTTTAGAAAAAAAGTAATGGATCTTTTATGACAATGAATACAAACATTTAAATAAGATACCGAAGGATATACTTTAAATACCTTTAAATAAATTCAAAACATCTGTCAAATCGTATTTATTGAGCAAAGCCTAGCCTCTTTCTCTAATAAATATATTTTTTTAAAACTGTTTATTTCTCACAGTTGTTTACAATTGTACACACTATATAAACGAGTTATGTACCATGATTAGCAACAACATTAAAATATACGGAGATCTTAAATAATATAGCGGTAAAATAAATAAATATTTATAAAATGAAATAAATAAATATTTCGTTTATATAACGTGTACAATTAAATATGTACCATATACATATGTGGATATCATCTTTTGTTCAGTAATTTTGTACAGATTCCATTTCAAAAAAAGAATAAAATAAATAATTCTATAAATCCGCATGCACTGACCGGCTTGTCCTTGACATCCGCGAGCGCATGCCTCAACTCCTTCCCCGAGTCGTAGGCCTGCTCCTGCGGCTGGGCCTGCGGGGGCGCGAAGTTGGACAGGCTCCACGAGGAGCGCTGCGCGGGCTGCGGCGCGGGCGCGGGGGCCGCCGGCGGGGCCGCCGTCGACTCCGCTGACGATGACTCGCTCTCAGAGTCGGAGGGCGACGAGCTGCCGGAGCTGGGGCTGGCCGAGCCGATGGGCGATAGCAACCTGTAATCGCATTGTCTATTCACATTTCTACACGATTGCCATAGGAAATAGAAAGAGAGAGAGTTTACGCTACTGGCCAGGTGGAAGTTAAGATAAGCATGAGGTTAGATCAGTTAGAAGGCCGAAACAGAAAACATATATCGACCTGCTTCAAGCAGCTGTCTATTACTGCTGCAATAATTTATTTCTGCATCTAGATGAAGTTCATAATCTCCAACAGTTGATAGTCAGTATATACAAATATTTCAGCAAATAATCTGACCTCCCGAACTAATCAAACAGAATAGAAATAAAAGAAACAAACCCGTTTATTAATTTAAGCAAACACGAAGATTGCTGATTAAGCCAACGAAATAACTTGAATATTTCATTCTTGTGATCTCCCTGCCGTGGGCTATGCCCGAAATACTTTATACATTGGGTTTGTTGCTACAGTGAAAATAGGCACTACAATAAATAGTAACGTAATTTGTAATTCTTTGTTGTGGGGGACAGGACAACGCTCTAAGGTACATTTAACTTCGTGATGGTAACGACTTACAGACAGGAGGGGAGAAAGGATTCTTAACTAGATTTATTACCGGTGTGTTGTACCAGGTCACATGTTGAGCGGAGCGCGTTTATCATAAAAATTCGACCTTGTTCGATAGGAATTTTTTTGAGTGGTAAACGAACGGCCCCTAAAGTCGACCTTCGATGAAATTTTGGCTTCGGTCGATGAATCCATTTCGGAGGAGTATCGTTGCAAAGAGTACAAATCCCATCTCTAAGATGCTCCGCGCTCCGCGCTGAGCTTAATAGTGAAAAATAACCCCATTGCTAAGAATTGAATTGCTCGGCCTTAAATGATGACATCGGTAGTCTAGCGACAATGGTTTACCAGACCAGAACTTGTGGTCATGATAAATATACATATAATATGGTCTGGCTGATCTAGCAGTTTGGTACATCGCCGTCACTTTCGATGGTCGCGGGATCGATTCCTTGCACAGTACCTATAAGTATTTGTATTCATGAGTGTATTCGTTTGTATCGGAAGTATATCAGTTGTCTAGCACCAATAACACAAGCTTGGGACTAGATGGCGATGTGTGTTATTGTCCAGGGATATTACACATTAATATTGCTAATAAGGTCGATTTCACGCGGTCCCCTAGGAATCCATCCCATTTAACTCCTAGTGAATTACATTACATTTACTTTAGAAATGAGTAGCACACGATTTTGTTAATCATTTCCATATATATAAGCAGTGGATACAAAATACCAATATACTAAAGCAACATTGCAAGAATATTTTTGAGAAATATTTAGCAAATAGTCTTATAATTTAAAAAATCCAGTAGGGAGTCCTTATGTGTTTACCGAGGTAATTAGTATGTAATTAGATTCGTTTACAGGTAAAAAGGCACGCAAATTGCATAGAGTAGCTATATTTAAAGGGGGAGGGGGGTATTCGTAATGGAAACTAGTGATCTCATTAGTCGACCTCCACCTGGACACCATTGTAGTTGATTCATGGTGCATTTTCCACAATGGTCTTTATGCTATTAGAGGAGGTGGTTCACTCGCCTGCGCTAACGGTTTACGCTGGCGAGGCACCAGTGGAGTATGACAAGATGAGCATGAGGTCAGGTCGGTTTGCCCATCGTGATTAAATAACCAGGAATTAACCTTGAAGTTTTCCATGTGAAACCGCGTGGAGGTCGATCTAAAATGGTACGTTGCTAGCAATGGGGACACTAGGACACCATTACTAACATTTCCCTTCCCCTCTTGGGAGGGGGTGGCAACTAGTAGTTTTATTATTCTCCTTCTGGAAACCATTGTGGTCGATTCATGGTGTATTCGCCACAATGGGCTACCAGACTGCTCTTTTGTTCATCCTATCGTCCTGAACTGGTGCCCCGTCAGGGCACAGGCGGGTGGTTCATACCACATCTATACATATCAGAAAAGAAAATCTTATGTTTGTTAGTAGTTTAGCCAAACTTTTCATATGTAATACTCACGGTCCTATACTTGTAGTAGTGGCCGCGACTTCGTCATCACTCTCAGATAGTCCAAGATCCTTGTTTACGTCACTGTAATCATACAATTACGTTTTATAGTATAGGGGACAAAGAGTTTTCTGCTGTCCTCATTGTGATAGGCTTGAAAACCTAGAGAATTCTAGGTGTGTCGATGGCCTTTTAGAAAGATTTACGATTTATTCTTAAAGATAACACCGCCTGATAATTTTACTGCCATATTTTTCCCATAAAATCGGAACATAAAATGAAAGCGTAAATCAATAGGAAAACAAAAATTTAAGAGATAAATAAAAGATAAAAATAAAAATGTTTATGAATAATAATTAGTTTACATAATTTAGTTTAGTATATAATTTACATATATATCTGTATCTAAACTTATTATGATAACTTTGTAACGTATCTATATAACTTAAATAATACTGAATCAACAGCATTTATATAACCTTTATCTATACGACGCTCATAGTCAGCGGAAGTGTTATATGGGGTTGCATTCATTAAAAAAATTGTTATAGCTATAATTATTGCACCTGGAAGTACTGGTAATAAACAATAATAACTTACGGTGACACTGAACGCCGTGAGTTTGATATCCGGTTGTCTAAACCTGTAACAAAAAAACCAAATTATTAATAATAATTTTCAATTAAAATATTAAACAGATACAAAGGATACATTGTAAAACAAGATGTATTACATTATAAGTAGGTTCAATTTCATTTGCAGAGTTCATGCCAATATCCATAAACAAAAATCATTGTTGTGGATACAATTACAACTAAATAACATTACTCTGGGTTGTCTCTGATCACCAGTAGAATTTATGATTTCAAGTATTCATACGACCTAAGGATAAAATATACCAAAAGTCAATATATGTATCATGAAACTTGATATTGTAAAAATAATATAAAATCAATATTAATAAACAATAACAAAGTAAAAACTAAATTGCATTGGAACGATTATCTTTAAGAACTAGTCTCAAATAGTATGAACGTTAAACAATAATAATTAAAAAAAAAACAGAAAAACAAGTGGAAACGAATGATCCGTATAATTTGTAAACATACGCGATGTTCAATTGGCAACAATTAGTATTTAATTAAAAATACTTTTTATATACCCACATTTAAAGTTTATATTTGGTTCAACAAGCTGACCAATAACCAACAGAATCGTGTAAATAGCAAACTGTAGAGAAAATTGAACATTAAATTCATAGCGGGGATGTTATAGTAATTGTGTGTTAATTTGGTAGGAATTTACAAGCTAACAAAGAGCACGTACTAAAATTTTATTACAAGGGAACAAAATTATATTTCTGCAGCGAGGGCTATTCAATTCCTTCATGTAATATCAAACAAGCCGACGGCCCACCAGGTGGAAACTGATAACTTTGGCACACCATCTAGCTTTACCAACACGCAAGTTTCTTACTATAATAGTTCTCCTTGTGATGAGAAAGCTTTCCGAACGAGCGGTACTTTAAAAAAATAAAATAAGTAATGACTATTGAATAGTGCTTCAATGTAAGTTCATTTGAATATAGAATTTTCTATTCTATTCTTTATGTCAAATTTCATTACAGCTCAACAGAGGTAGACTATAAAAAATAGTCTATGATACCTCAGTCTCATCTACTTCAGTCGGAAAACTCCTTCTCCCTCTTCTAAAAATCAGTTAGCTGTGTTTCCGTTATAGTGTGGGAGAAGAGAGTGACAATGACAATACAGGAAAAAATATATGATATTTTAGTCCACTGAAATGTGAACGCATGAGTGTCACATGATAACGTGATGTCTGTAATGATATTCATGTATAGGGGCGATGGTTACCTTCAGGTGGGGTATCAGCTTCTCCTATCTAATTACATTAAAAAACCATTCATTATAATAACCAAACAGACAGACAGACCCACTTTTGTATTATGCAAATAACACTAGTATGAATACACAAATTTACACTGTAACTTTATAATTTTTGTATAAATATGAATATAGATACGAGTTAAAACACTGTACTTGAGCAAGTAAAACTCTAATATGCACTAAACATAATAAATAGTCAAGTTCTGAGAACTACTTAAATAAAACTTAAGTATGTTAAATGTCATATAACTCCAACCATTTTAGTGACCGTTAAGTTAAGAATCTTGAATTTAAACGCTTGACAATGTTGGTGCCGTTTACGGTGTTTGGCCTACCACTGCGGTGTAGCGGTTAACGTGTTACTCGTGAGAGTTTGTGTTCGATTCGTAATTGGGCCAATATATGTAGTACCTTTAGTTACTACTACATATATTTATTATACGGGACTTTTATACTCCTAGAAATGTCATTATAAAATCATCGCTATAACAATACTTAAACCTTTGTTAACATTATTTCTAATTAATATTATATATAAGTGCAATAAAGAATATAATAAAATTGTATGAAAAATACGCATACTTATAAACTAAATAAAATTACAAATAAAAATATTCGAAGAGATATGGACCATGCAGCAAACATGTCGGTGCATGCAAAAACAAGTGGGGTAAAGGTATTGTTAGTAATGGAGATGGTAAAGTAGCGGGGCCTAATGGTCCCTAGCAAGTGACTAGCAATTTTGATCAACCTCTATACAGTCCCTCCTGCATAGCAAATTCTTAGAAAGTTCGTCAGTAGGGTCTAACTGATCTGATCATCATGCACTGGGGACCCGCCAACATAAACTTTTATCAGAAGGAAAGGAGCACCATTAGTCTTTAAAAAACTCCTTACCACGACCCAGTTTTAAACGGAACCCTAAAGAACCCGCCCGTATTCATAGCTTAAACCGCTAATAACTTCATGTATAATAAACACACCGAGGGCATACGAGCTTGAGAAAGGGCTGCTGTGTTTATTTAGGCGCTGTTTTGTACTAATACTTCACTACATGAGTAACAATGCAATTTGAACTTTATGTACCATGCTTTATGGGTTATAATGTACGTAGATGTTTAACAGCGGAACGGCGATTGTAAATATTGCATCGTGAAGGTTTAGGTTCGATGCTGGCCGATACGCCGCCGTACAAACACTTCAGACTCAAACTTTACGCTATTTGTTTATATGATTTAAGACTCCAATACAAACAAGTCATATTCTTAAGGCTTCCGCGCGTTTGTGCAGCTGAGTGCATATCAACCGTAATACTTAGCAATAAGGTCTAATATTAAAATTCCAATCTCGATCCCGTAAGAATGCAATCTGTCACCTATTGTCATCACCGGAATGTCGGAAAGCGTCATATCCTAGCGGTTACTCAAACTTACGGTCGTAAGTTCGAATCTGACTGACATCAAAAATCTTTGTACACCAAGTTATATTCAACTGACAATCTCTCCTATGATAGGAACATTGTTACAAAACCAAATTACTGCGACAGCTGGCGCTAGATTCAGCCGCTGCAATGTTTGTTTCAAACATACTGAGCGAAATGTCTGCCTGCCAAATGTTGGGACATCTACATTTTGACAATGCCTCTGTCTAATCTTCACCCCTGTAGGGGGTTGTCGATGACTCTATGTCTGTCTGGGACAACCGTCGTGTAGGCATACTGCCTATTAACGGAAATTCATAACAAGCGACCCAGTGTGCATATTGTAAACACTCATGCTTCTGCCACAACATCCATTGCCGGCCGGTTAATTTTTACATACTATAAAATGAAGTCGCTTGCGCTGTCTGTTCGCTTAGAAGCTAGTAAACAACGCAACGAAATTTAATGCAGTTTTTAACAATAAATACAGTGATAAAAGAGGAAGCTTCATATGTATAATACATGTACGTACAGTGACGTACACCGTTGCGAAGCCGGGGCGGGTAGCTAGTAATATGTATAAAACCCAATTTACTTAATGAAATTAGTGACATAAAAGTAGTAATTTATTGCTATGATACTGAGTTAATAGAATTTTATGTGTAATATAATGTGACATACCTTACGAAAGTAACAGTGAGGTATAAATTCCATAAAGAAAAACAGTTGCAACTTTATTACAATTCAATGAGCACCTATGCTAGTTTATATCAGTATCAAGATTTGTCCATTGAAATGAATCAGAAGATATTTCAATAAAAATATTACATTTTCTATAAAGATTAGTGAAAGCAATCACAGCTACAACGAAACCGATCTCGCGGTGACATGTCGCGTGAAATAATCAACAAAGGGCCAAGTGAGCAGACGAACAGCCCTACAAGGTTAACGACCCGGGGTCGCTGTCATACAGTGATGCCACCTTAGTAGTTTTACCGTAGTAGAACCGGCGGATTTGACCCCTTGCCTTGTGTTGGATGTTCAAATTTATATGAGAATAATTAGCACTGGTTTATATAATACATAGTTAAACTTGTATGACTAAACCTTGAAAAATACTTAAAAGTACGAGAATATACTTCAAATACATTCATTATTCTATCAGTTTATATCTTTCTTATTTTCAGAACAATATATAATACCTATATATAATGCTCGTTAACTAAAAAATCTATCACTTTATTACTGGTGTCGAGTGTACTTAGTATTAAGTGAATGTTTGAAAAAAGAATGTACATATAAAATTTATTTCACTCGATAAATTAAACATTCGAAATTTTTAGTAATTATTTAAATTTTCGTATGTTAGTGTTGTCATTAACTTCATATTGCTATAAAATAAATTGGTTTTTAATAACCTTTTTTTTCAACTTTCTAATACCATTTTATTTTAAAAAATACCTACATCCATTTCACGCAATATTGTAATTTAGTAATTGTTCTAGAGGTATCATTAATATAAGTACATGTGTATATGAGTCCTAAGAATTTGGTCTTTTGATAGTTTTAGGAGAACTAACTAGCGGATGTGCTCAATTTTCGTTGGCAACACTGCCACCGATAGATTTGTATGAAACCTCTCAACTACACCGTCACGTTTTTTTTTTGTTATACATCCAACTTTTACTGTAAATCAATTGGAAACGGATTATAGACTTTTTGTCGATTACAAATTTGTTAATGGGTATGCTCTGTACATACCAAGGCAATAAAAACATTAAAGTGGAGAGAAAATAGTCTCCGATTAGATTTATAAATAAAAAAAATTGTTTTATTTAATATAAATAAAAAAAAAACACAATAACAAAAAATATAAATTTATATTTGATTTATAATTACATTATGCATAGCAAATCTGATTAGGTTGATCCTATTAATGAAATACATTCAAACTTTAATATTTTTTATCCACTAATTTAGTTTTACTTAAACACAGTAACCAACAGTATTGGTCATTTTTAACGAAACTAATTATAGTAATAAATACTTCTAAACTGGTATCAACAGAAAATAAATTAGAATAGTTGAAAATAAGTAAGTCCAACTTAAATTACACTTAAGTGATAACTTACATTCAGAAAATACCAGTTTAATGGTTCTGTCAATACGGACAATTAGCGCCTTCGTGAAGGTTCCTACGTTACTCTTCGTAGTTCCCACACCATCCAAATTCCAACCAGAACTTTGACCACACATGATGTTTATAAAAACAACGGATTCCATTAGTAGTTAAGTAAATTCACGTAAGAAAAAATA